TGATCTGACCTCTGAGACGTAAAACTGGAGCAAATGAAAATGTTCTTTTCAGTGATGGGAACAAATCAAAGATAAGCAGGCAGATACTCAACTTCTGCTTCCCACGACTAAGGGCCGTTTTATAGAACATATATTTTTATCTCCCTGTTCTGAGTTGGAGCCCATATTGACCAGGCTAGTCTTGCAATACTGTGTTCCAATGATCCTCATGCCTCAGCCTCCTGGGTGCTGGGATCACAATTGTGCACCACTGTGTCCCCTTTCCAGTGAGGAAAGAACTTTAAAAAGAACTTTAAAAAGTTCTTTAAAGAGAATAATACCATCTGTGGACATCTCTCCAAATATGACTTGTATTGAGAACTCACTGCTTTTTTTCATGATGGAAAGGCAGAGTCCAAATCACGGTTCTAGGCTAAAGGTTGATACTTAAATGAGATCTCACCTTTGAGGTACAATGTTTTCTGTAAATCATCACTGTCGAGAGTACCACTGGGGCTATTTATGGAACACTGCCCAAATCATACAAGATTTATTATGGATAGATGATACCATAATACTGAGGTGTTTGGACCTAGGTCTGGGCTTTCCCATTAAGATTAAAAGGAATTAAAAATGACTATAGAAAATTACTCAGGGTCCTGAATACTACTGTAATTCATGGTTTGTCCAATTGAAATAAGCATCGTGTGTAGGAACTTAAGAGTATATGCTCTGGAACACAGCTGCTTGTGTTCAAACATGAGCCTAGCGTGACCCTCCCGTGTACTGTGTGACTCTGAGTAGTAGAATTCAATCTCAGCCCATGTTTAACCTTACTTCTTTCCACTGCTTTAGAAATTCAGCTCTGCCAACGACTCCATGCACTTTGTTCACCTTAAAATGTCTTAATATGAATTAATTGTAAAAAAAAAAAAGAGGAATCAGAAAACTGGAGCAGTTACTTCTACTAGGTTGATGAATTCCTGCCTGCATTACTTACACCTGGGACCTACGTGCTCCTATCTGCTTCCTGCTGTGCATTTTAAAATCTGCATGAAGATACAAAGGGAATCAGGCACCATGGCTCATATCTGCAATCCTAGCACTTAAAGGCTGAGGGAGGAGGGCTGTCAAAAATCTGAGAACACCCTGGACTACATAACTAATAGGTTTCACCTCCGATGCAATATGCCAATTCAAGCAAAGCAAGAGTACAAAGGCAGGTTTATTAAGAGGCACCTCTCGGTCAAATTCACTGACCTCAAAGAAGATCAATGGAGCCACTCACCGCCTAAAGCAAGGGGGTTTTATAGGTCTTGGGCACCAGGTGATGATGTTAGCTAGGGGTGTGCTGGAAAATAGTTAAAAAAACAAACAAACAAACAAACAAACAAACAAACAACTGAGCTCCTGGGTGAGCACTCTTGGGTAGGTTGCTGTGGAGACATGACATAGTTGCCTGGAGTTTTCTCCTTGGGGGTGGGGTTGGGTGAGAAAGAGCAGATGGGGTTTATCAGCTTGTGCAGGGGTGACGGGGTTCCAACCAAACAATAGATACAAAAAGATGTCATGTCCTCCACTTGGCCCTGACTCTGGGTTGCCAATCTGGCTTTATCTAGACACATCCCATCGTGTTTTCTCTGTTCTCAACAAAGCTTCATCTCTTTTGATACATACATGAACATTCCTTGCCCCTCCTTTTGGGGTACAGTGTATTCTTAAGCACAAGAAGCCAGAACAAAGCTCCCACAGTTAAGTTACCAACTATATCTCTCCCTGTAACATATTCCATTGTTCTGGTCTTTGCTCAAGGTCTGTTTACACAAAATATTTAGGAGTTGAATAGTGTACAGAAACTGGAAGAACATTTGTGTAGTGACAGCATATGGCAAGCAAAGCAAGAAACGGTGAAGACTCGGGAGTGGAAAAGCAGTTCTAAGAGACACAGTCCAGCAAGCAAGACAGCTCTGGTTACTATGCTGTTAATTTTTCTTTCAGTAGCACATCTGTGAATTCTGAGTAGATGAGTACTGCCAGCATTAATCTGCTAGGAGGGTATTCTCATAAAGAGATTAGCAGGAGGAAGGCTGAGCTCAAGTAGAGAATAGGTTCCACATATACAGGTCTCTGGCTTCATCTGGGGCCCCGAGTGCTGGTTAAAAAGCAGATTTTGCTAAGCCTGGCTGCCTTACGAGTGCAGCCCTGGTGTTGGTGTTAGGGAAGGCCTGGAGTAGTAAACAGTTTTAGCTTTTAGTAACGGAGATTTAATGTGGAGCCTTATCCACACTTAGAAAGAACTCCAACACTGAGCTTTTTTCAACACTTTTCTTTCTTTTAAACTTTTCTTCACGAGACAAGTTTGAAGCCACCCAGGCCTTAAACTTTCTTTCTTTCTGAATCAGCCTCCCCAGTAGTTCCCTCCAGGTCCAGCTGAGTTATTTCTCAACAGCTCATCTGCTTTGAGATGCTTGAGAACAGAATGCTTTTCAAGTCATGAAAAGGCTGGTGAGATGTCTCAGCTGGTAAAGATCCTTGCTGCCAAGCCTGATAGCCTGAGCTTGACCCCAAGGTGGAAGTACAAACTCTCTCAAGTTGTCTTCCGATTCCCACACATAAGCCATAACATGCATCACACACAGACGCACACAGACACAGACACAACCACACACACACACGATAAATCTTTAAAAATGTCATGCTAGCTCCAATACCAAAAGCCATTGTGACACACAAGAAGCATACATCATAAAACTAAAACCATTATCGTTTCTATGGGAGAATGCATTCCATGAGCAGGAACTCAGTTCCCAACCTAGCAGTGCTATTCTGTGTAAGAGGCACTGGGGAGATGAGAGTATCATTTTGATCAGGGGGGGAGATAGAGTGAGGTGATTATTCTTTCTCCTTTCCCCTTTGCCCCTGTGCATGAACGGAAATCCACTGATGAGCTGGACAGAAGGTAAGAGCTGTGCTGAGATTAAAGTCTTAAACAGGAAGTTTGTGTGGCAAGGTAAGAAAGAGGAAAATAATGAGCTGTCTTAATAGTGATTAAAGATGATCCAGGAGCCACATATTTTATGTGGCCTGACTACTCACTAATAAAAGATCACCATAGGTTCTCAACCAAAGCAGTTGTTCTGACTCAACAAGGGTCGTGAGTGGCAGCCTCCTATTGGAGAGCAGCAACGTGTTGTAGGCACTCAGTAAAGTATGTGAACCAAAAGGCTACACCAATGCTCAAGAATATAGAACCCAGTATTAACAGAACTAGGACACCAAGGCTTAAATATGTGTGGGATTTTTTTGTTTGTTTTTATATTTTTATGTTCATTGATGTTCTACCTGCATATGTCTGTGTGAGGGTATCAGAAGCCCTGGAACTGGAATTATGGACGGGTCTGAACTGCCATGTGGTGCTGGGATATGAACTCATGTCCTCTGGAAGAGCAGCCAGTGTTTTTAACTACTACTGAGCCCTCTCTCCAGTCCTTTCCCCATCCATAATATACTTAAATTTGAAATAATGGAAAGGCCACACCAAATTCTAGTTTTAGGCCCTAATGGTGTTTACCTTGTGGAGCTGAGGACAAATGTTCTGGGAATCTGTAGTGGTTCCTGCTCATCAAGAGTCACAGTGACACCTAGACATACCGAGCATTTTGAGTGGGACAGGAACACTTATTTAGAGACAGGTTCTTACAGTGTTATCAAGTATCTGGTAAGACATCCTGTCTCAGCCTTCTGAGAGGCTGGGACTACAATAATTCCATGGCCAGATAAATGTTCAAAGATTTGAGACTGAACCTCATTCAGTGCACAGAGACATTTTAAATACATGACACCACAGGTGATGTTGATGTTTATCCATGTTGGGGTATCATTGGAGTGACAGACTGGATTAGAAGCCAGATACCAGAACATGGTTTCTGGTCTTCCTCCCTGTGGTATTACAGCTGTCATTTGCTCTTTTTATGTGCAGGAATGGTCTGCCTGCATGTATGTACGTGTACCACTTCTGTACCTCATGCCTACAGGTGAGAAGAAAGCATCAGATGCCCTGGAACCAGAGTTATAGATGGTTTTGAGCCATCAGGTGATAGGAACCAAATCCAGGTTTGTCTGCAAGAGCAACACGTACTCTTAACTGCTGAGTCATCTCTCCAGCCCCCAGCATCCTGCTTTCTTTTTTAGGTTTCATATAGTTCAGGCTGGCCTTGAACTCCTAAGCCTCCTGCTTCAGCGTCTTGAGATGTGCTTTGATAAACAGTATGTATGACCACATATTTCTTTCTTTCTTTCCTTCTTTCTTTCTTTCTTTCTTTCTTTCTTTCTTTCTTTCTTTCTTTCTCTTTTTTTTTTTTGGTGGTTTTTCTAGACAGGGTTTCTCTGTATAGCCCTGGCTGTCCTGGAACTCGCTCTGTAGATCAGGCTGGCCTCAAACTCAGAAATCCACCAGCCTCTTCCTCCCAAGTGCTAGGATTAAAGGCGTGCACCACCACTGCCCAGCATGACCACCTATTTCTACATCTGTACTTAGAGGTATTTTAGAGGCAATGAGAAGAGTGGTCTGTCAGTGCATTACAAGAATTGGCTAGCATTACTAGATCATCCTCCTACTCTGTCCGCAAGCTATTCCCATCTAATGACCATCAGCTAAGCACTTAAAACAACTCTCTAGCAGGCTGGCTTCCAAACTACCTGCACTCTTGCTTCTGCTCACCTGTTTCACCTAAATGTTTTCTTCCTTTTGTCTTTCAGATCTACTCACCAAACCCTTATTTTCAATAAAAATAATTTCAGAAATCTTTCCTGAGCAGCTATATAAGGAGTCTGTTCTTCAAAATTTATGACACTTATTTTCTACTACTTTAATTCTGAAACACACTGAGCGACGATTCCACTGCTCCTCTCTCTAACTATGGTAGACTGCCACATCACGGGCTAAGTTGTAAATGTTCTAAGAAATCTGGAGTTAGACTTCCTTCCTTCACAGCCCCACACAAAGGACAGTACACAGAGGGTGCTCATCAAATATTTATGGTCTCAGAGCAGCAAAGGCTGAAGTGTCACCACAAAGCATTACAAATACAGTATTTCTCACCAGCCTACACTGAGATGGCTTCCCTGTAGTCATCACACAGACTTTTTGCTCTTTTATGACTAGTCTGATGATAAGAGTTGAGTTCTGTGAGAATAATTCCCCCCACACATGACACTTTTAGGGACCACGTCTACTATAGATTTCTAGTGCTTACTAAGCTGACTCCCATCTGAAGGTCTTGGCACATTCATCACATTTGTGGGACCTTCCCACAGTGTGGGTTCCCTAATGTTCCATGAGTTCTGACATCTGAATAAAGGCCTTCCTGCCCTCAGCACACTTATCAGATCTCTCCAGAATGAATTTGCTCATGTTCTGCAAGACTTGTTTTTTGAACAAATGCTTTTCCACATACACTGCACTTGTAGGGCTTCTCCCTGGTGTGGTTCCCCTGTTGCTGAGTAGGACCACTTTGAGTGAAGGGCTTCTCCTTGTGATGGGTTTCCTGATGGGTAGCAAGAGATGAGTTATAAACAAAAGCTTTCCCACAATCACTGCATTCGTAGGGTTTTGCACCAGTGTGAACTCCTTGGTGCTGAGAAAGTGTAGAGCGGCGATTAAAGCTTTTATTACACTGAAGACACTGATAAGGTCTGGTTCTTCTGTGGCTCTTGAGATGGTGAAAGAGGCCTGCTTTCTGGCAAAAGGCTTTGCCACATTCATTACAGTGGTAGTGTTTTTCTCCTGAGTGAAGTCTCTGATGTTGGTTAAGAGCTGACCACTGGCCAAAAGCCCTGCCACATTCATTACATTTATACGGCTTCTCCCCAGTGTGTACCACCTTGTGTCGAATAAGAACAGTCCTCCATCGGAAAGTTTTCCCACATTCTTCACATTTGTAGGGCCTGTCTCCAGTATGGACTCTCTTATGCTCTATGAGGCGGGAGTGCTGAGTAAAAGTCTTTCCACACTCATCACACCCATGCACTTTTCGCCTTGGACAGATGTTCTGGTGTTCAGCATGGTCTGAGTTCTCAGCTAAATTTACCCCATTTTCATTATGCAGAGGCTGGCTGTCTTCCTGGGAAACACCAAAAGACTCTTCTCCAGGGTTACAAGTTTCTTCACACTCAAGTACATCCTTTGCTAACCTGCTAGAGGGATTCTGTTCTGCTTCCATTCCTTCCCAGAGGCCTTGCTTTAGAGTTACATTTCTGGACTCATTTCCAGTCTCAACACCTGAAACTACAAAAAACAGCCTGCATGTTACCTACTCCCCAGGTAGTAAATGGTAGCTTATGAAATTAGCAACATAAAAGTATTCAAATGAAAGTTACATAAGATCTTAGAGTTTCTACTACAAACTACAAAACTACATTAGTGAACAAGATATAATGCACTCTAAAAATGAATAAAGAGATAATAAAGCAACAGAAATCTGGGCAAAGGGAAACTATATGGTTTCCAAGAAAGGAGACACACAGTGCTTACTTATCACAGGAGAGATACTATTCCATTATCAGGCAAAAATGAGTTAAACATCACATATAATTTTTAAATTTTTTTATTATTTTCTGTATGAGTGTGCACATGCCATGGCACATGTTTGGAAATCAGAGGACAACTTTTGCAAGTTGGTTTTCTCCTATTGTGGATTCTGGGGATAAATTCAGGTTGTCAGCTTTGCACAGCACATACTTTAACCTGCTGAGCCATCTTGCCAGCATAAGGTATAATTTTTCACTCACTGGATTTACCTAATTAGTTTGGTATTATACTGTACCCACAAAATGGGTATCTCAAACTGCTGATATGAATTTATCCAAATTGTTAATGGAAAGCAATTTCACAATAACTACTAACATTATATAGTACATAACTTTTGGCACAACAGAAGTACAGACAAGAATCTATGCTGTTATTTATCACAACAATATTTGTTATAAGAAATGCCAAAAACAAATGTCATCAGTAGCAGCTGGCTAACCTGCTTTCTTTATACTTAAAAAAAAAAAAAAGATTTATTTATTTATGTATATGAGTACACTGCCGCTCTCTTCAGACACACCAGAAGAGGGCATCAGATCCCATTACAGAGGGTTGTGAGCCACCATGTGGTTGCTGGGAACTGAATTCAAGACCTCTGGAAGAGCAGTCAGTGCCCTTAACCGCTGAGCCATCTCTCCAGCCCCTTGTCTATATTTTTTAACGTTAAGCAACTGTTAAGAAATTGAAAGTGCAAAAAGTCTACCATTTTAATGTGAAGGAAAAGAAAATGTTTACTATAAAAAAAATCTCAGAAGGACACATAAAAAATTTTAAAAGTGACAATTTACTTCAGAATTGCGGGAAGACTAGATGAATTAAATGACACAGAAACTCTTCACTGGATAATTTTTATAAATCCTTTTATACCTTAAAACAGTTTACCTACTAAAAAATTAAAAACCAGAGTTAGCAGAAATGAGGAAGGCAGCGAGTCCCCATCTGTTCACCACCTTTACTATTACTGCCATGTTCATTTTACTGTCCTTCAGTAAAGGTGAATACTTCTCAGACTAACTACTAAGGAGTTGCAGATATCATGTAACAAAAACTTATTTACTACAAGAACTAAGGATATAGTCCACGTGGAAGACAGAAATGCTGCTTAATAGACTCAAGTGTACAATTAGCAGAGAGGTCAGAATGAGGGATTATAATTACTAGAAGAATGAAATTAAGTAAACCTAAACAAAATAAAGCCAGAATTTAGAAAACTATTAATTTTATAAGAAGAAAGGGGGGCTGTGGATGCACCTTAGAGAGATACAGTACTTGTCTGGCATGCATGAGGTTCTGGGTTTAAAAGAAGAAAGCGGGTGGGAGTAGGGGGAATGGATAACTAAAGGGTAACAAACCATGACACCTGGATGTTGACACATAAAAGTTGACACATGAATATCAGATTTCTGGATAGCCCTCCCGATTTTAATGAGAAACAATGGGAAGCCCCAATGAGCCCTGGGGTCCTGTTAGCCCTGCGGCCCTTCCTTTCCTTCCTCCTTTACCTTGCTCCTCCTGGGTTTCATGCTCTGCAAGTCCACACCCTGGCTTGGCTTTGACAAATTGAAGGGACACACTGGGTTTCGGCTCTGCTGCTAAAGGCTTCGTCTCCCGCAACATTTCCCGTTCTTCAATTTGGACTGAGGCCTGAGAGAAATGAGAGAAGCACTGTAATAACAGCAAACAAGAGTACAGTGTTCACAGAGTCACCCCTGCTCAAGCCTGAAAGACTTTTTCACAGCAATCAGCCTGTGTTGATCTCACTCATTTTTCAAGGTCATTTGAAAATGTCACCCTCTCCTTCTTTTCCCTCATACAGCTAAATTTTGTTGATTTTCTGTTATTTTTTCATATTTGCATAGTGCTCAAAGAATGGAGATGGGAAAAGGGTGAAAGGAGAGATGGAAAGAAAGCAGAGAGGAGGAAGAAGGAAGGGGCTGGAGAACGGCTCAGGAGTTAAAAACACTTGCTGCACTTCAGAGGACTAGGATGTAGGGTTCCCAGCATCCACACTGGGTGATTTCCAACTGTCTGTATCTCTAGTTTTTAAGTACAGCTTCCTAAAATGACTTCCATTACTTCTACTTTTGACCTACAGGCCTCCTCACCACCACGTAGAATTTACCCAATATAGCAACCAGAGTGATTATTTTAAAATGTACTTTATATTTCCCTTTTGCTCAAAGCTAGGCACTGACTTTCCAAAAATCTAAAATCTTTATAATGGTCTCTGAGTCCGTATATGATATACTTTCTTTAACTCTTTCATCTTCTCTACCAGTTCACCTCTCCCCTGGGCATACTGGCAGCACTTGAGGCCTGTGCAGCCGTTATCTCCTCTGCTGTGACCCTCATGTCCTTTACTACCCTTTCTCTACTGCTTTTGGCATGTTTATCAATATCTAACACCTTACACATTTGTGAAATCTCTTTTCTTCTATCTCTTCTCAGTAGATTAGTATCTACACAATAACTTGTAATGGTGTTCACTGGTGAATTGTAGCAGGATATTTTCTTGCTACATTGTAGTTGTAGTGGAGCTCTGTGATTGGGCAGAAGAGGAGGTGGAGCTGGGAGAAGGAAAGAGAAGGAGAATAAAGGAGGAGGAGAGGTTGCAACCATGGAGGAGGATGAATGGGTCAAAAGCAGTCCTGGGTAGCAATTCCTATCAAAAGGTTAGATATTGGGTAACAATTCTAATTGTGTGGGCATCTTGTTAATTGAGCATTTCTAAATATATAAATTCATTGGATAATCTTTAAGCATTAAGAGTCTCATTTCTACCAGGTACCGTGGGCATAGCAGGAATGGTCTGGGCTCAGCCAAGCATTGTGGGGGCAGCATGGTATTGGCAGAGCCATCCAATAAGCTGGAATCTCATCGGTGCCAAGGCTGGTACTTCTAACTAGCTGGAGCTGTTGTCAGAGCTGGAGCAGCAGGAACATGGTGGTTGCCTGCGAACAAGCCGGACTGAGTGCCGTTTTCTAAATATCTCCCGCTTCAGTGCATTCCAAGTGCCTCTGTTGGTATGTGGCACAAAACTGGTATTCCATAAAAACCTGCAGAATGGCCACCTACAGCCTTTAACTCTATCAGGAATGACACAGTTCTCTTACATATAACTATGAATTCATGACCCTGTTTCAAACTTTTTGGCTCCTTTTCTGTTTTGTCTTTTTGGCTCCCATCTATTTTATACCCTGATACCAGGTACACTTTTTTTATTTCACAGGCTCATTCTCTTCATCCTGAGACATCCTAAGCTTAGCTCTTCTGACATGCTTTTGGTAAATTCATTTACTGATGTCTGAGGCTTCCTTGTATGCTGTAAGATGTATAGAATCATCACTGCCTCCTCAGTTATAACAACCAAAATTTGTCTAAAAATCTGCCAAATGTCCTCTTCGGCTCAGAATTACTATTGGTTGAAAACCAGCCTTGTCAGTTAAGACAAAAATAAAAAAGGGTTATAAATGAGTCTTTCTTCTGCCTCTTTTATATAATTTTTAGAACTTATTTAGACTACAAAGAAAAGATTTAGAGCCTTTGTACTAGTAAAAAAAATTCAAATAGAGAGGTTTATGGTCAATGTCATAAACTCTGTATCTCAACCTTCTCAGACATCACTTTTCCAACACAAATGGCCTTTCTATCCCTCAGGCAAGTATTTCCCAGGCTAACCCTCCCATTGACTTTCCACTCTGCTCCCGTGTCGCATTCATTCAGGATAGTGACCTCCGCCTCCATCTTTTAACTGTTTAATACTCTGATCAGGGCAGTCGATATATATTGTATAACTTTTCCTGGGGAGATGTGAGCAAGCTTCTTTTTACTCCAGATAGGGCACTGACAAGCCAAATAAAGATCCCAGCTAAGTCTAGCTTGGCCAACCAAGAGTCCCTTGAGCTTGCTTATAGCACAGGTGAGAGGTTTCTTAAGATGCCAAGGTGACAAGTCCTACCCTAGCACTGGTGAAGAATTCATCAAAGTCACACCACTCAAGTCTTGCTGTCCACCAACAGATCTGAAGAAGGATTAAGAGCTGGTATCATCCAATGTTTCTACCTGGGAAAATTAACAGGCCCATAACCATGTGCATAGCTATCACATACTGTGGACTAAGCACAGGACCTTGCAGATACTAAGCAAGTCCTCTAGCACTGAGCCACATCCCCTGCTTTTGTTATTTTTGAGACAAGGTCTTACAATATAGCCCAGATTGTTCTCGAACTCTCAATCTATCTGTTTCCATCACCTGAGTGCTACATGACAGGCATGGACTCCTGTTCAGCTCAAAACCTATTTCTTTTTTTTTCTTTTTTTTTTTTTTTCAAGACAGGGTTTCTCTGTGTAGCCCTGGCTGTCCTGGAACTCACTCTGTAGACCAGGCTGGCCTCAAGCTCAGAAATCTGCCTGCCTCTGCCTCCCAAGTGCTGGATTAAAGGCGTGCACCACCACAGCCTGGCTTCAAAACCTATTTCTTAATTGCTTGTTTTATACTACATAATATCCTTTACAAGAGGCTGTTTCCCACCTGATTACTACCATCTCTCTAATACCTTCTTCTAGTATCTTCTCTCTGTAGTATAAGCCTTGTGTTTCTGAACTAAGCAGTACATTCATCAGCAACTTTGTAGCTTAGCACAGAAATCTACAATCCCTATGATGAAAAGGTATAAATAAGCTAAGACCAGACAGGAGTGGAGGTGCATACCTGCAATCTCAGCATTAAGGATGAGAGGCAGGAAGACTACAATTTCAAGGCTAGGATGTGTAACATACAAGTTCAACCCCAAATTCCCATGAAACTACAGTCCCCTTTGGATCTACCTAAATGTCAGTATGCTTTGTAAAATAGTGGCATACTTCACTTTGGCCTACAAATTCACGATTGAGTCTAGGAAACAGAACCCACTGTTTTGTTTTCTTACCCGGTATCCTAGTTCATCAAGCTCTCTCTCTAAATCCTCCAGCACAGTCACCACCTCCTCCACACTCTCGGGATTCTGCTCCTGCACCCAGGCCTGCAGCTCCCCTGGCAGGATGGTCAGGAACTGCTCCAGCACCAGCAGCTCCAGGATCTGCTCTTTGCTGTTCAAGTCTGGTCGCAGCCACTGACGGCAAAGTTCCCTGAGTCGGCTCAAAGCCTCCCGGGGTCCAGATGTTTCCTGGTAGCAAAACTGTCTGAAGTATTTTCGGAAGACGTCTCTGTTATAAGTGTTCTTTTGTAAGTTCCTATCTTGTCTGGTGGTATACTTACACTCTTCTTCCATTTTTATTTCCAAAAGTCCATCCTGGTTCTTACAGATCTTGGTATCACTGGTAGATGCCATCATAGCTATATAAAAGATGTATCCGTGTTTCAAGTAATAACTCCTTGGTAAATTTTCTTACCGAGTGGACCTAAGGGATAAGTCATCATTACAAACGCAAACTACAATAAGAAGATACCGCATATTTGAAAGACTGCCCTCAGGTTAATGCTCTGTATTGACAGGAAGTACATGGACTTTCACAAAAATAGAGAAGAGTGAAAAAGATGTCAAATTGTTTCAGGACTTCAAGGAGTAAAGTTTGGTAAGAAACTTACCTCCACTTACTCCTAAAGTAAACCACAACTAACTGAAATAAAACAAAAAATTTTAGAATGAGCAGATGGTGTTGGGGAAGGGCAAGCGCTGCCTACCGTGTGAGACGTTCAATAACAGTACCACAAAAAATAACGGAAAGAGTACAAGAATAGGGGGGACTCCTGCCTTGCTGCTTTTGAAATTTTTCTGCATACCCGATACAAACCATATATACATAGTACAATCTCACAAACTGGCTTTAGCCGGGACGTAATCATTCATAAAGGTTAAAAGTTGGAGAGATTACTCTGCTTTTCTCCTGCCCTTCGAGTTCTGTGATTCTAAACATAACAAGTTCTGCAGCGTGCCTAGGTCCCGGCAGGCTCTGAGCCCCAGGCGTACCCACAGGCGCCTGGCTGTTCCCCTGGTTCCAACCATCTTTTCTAATACCAGGAGTCTAGGTAGCAGGGAGTACCCTCCCCCAGCCTGGAGCTCGAGCTCGCTCACCGCGTCGCTCCTGCGCAGAGAAGGGAATCCAGCCGGCCCAGGAACCGGAAGCCAGGAAGGCGGACTGCCACAAAGGCCGGAAGCGGTGGAGCCCGGTTGCTCCCAGAGCCACTCTAGGGAGCCAGGGAGTTCTACTCAGTGGTTTGTCCTTAAGCCTGAGAAAGAAGTTAGCGGACTGAGCCAAATGGGAGGTAGAGCATTCCCGTCCTTGTCCGGTTTCGCGTTTGTGTTTCAGTATCTCTAAGATTAGTGATGCCTCAAAGAGACATTCTTCCGGATCCTTTCAAACTCAGCTATGCTGCCCCATTGTGGATAGTCTCCTCAAACCCAGCCTGTGGAGTTTTGACGATCTTGCCAATAATTCTCAAGTGTCCTTATTTTATGCTGATAATGTGATCATAAATTTGGAAAGCCAGAACGGTCAATGAGAAAAATATATTACAAGGATAATTTAGTAAGTTAATAGGATATTATGGACACTAAAATCAGCCTTCATAAGTACAAGTGTGAATGAAAAGGCCACATACAAAAGCAACAGCAAAACCACACACACTCAAGAAATGTGCCAGATTTACTTGGAGCCAACTTTAAAACACTCTTTAAAAGCCAAATATGAACTTAAATAGAAAGCAATGCGCTTTCTTGGGTAGAAAAACTCAACAAAGTAGTCAGTACTTCTTAAATGTTTCCAACTATGGTATCCCAATAAACACAACTCTTTTTCTAGAATTAAAATTCATATATATATATGTATATATATATATATATATATATATATATTAAACGCCCTGAAAAATAATAGTGATTGACAGTCTTACCATATACCAGAACATTCTGTGTTCTGGAAGTGAAAAAAGAAGTCTCACCCTGTTCTTAGGGAGCTAATGTACATGGAGAGGATCACCAAAACAAACTCCCAAACACAGTAATAATCTGTCAAGCAAAGTATACGTGGACAGTGCTTAGGAACATTGACTTAGTTAACCAGAACAAAAGAAAGTAGTAAATCAAGACAACTTTAAAAAAACAATTGGTGAAAATATAAGTTAGGTGGGTTACAGCTATCTGAAAAACTCTTAGCCTTTTTATTGGTGAAACCAAGTGATCTGTTAGTATATTTCAAAGGGATTTGCCTAATAAGCAGAAGGACATTAAGGCATACACATGGGTGGGCAATGAATGGTTATAAAGAGAACTAAATGTAGCAAAAGACTATTTATCTCTGGACCTGCAACTTTAAAACTCTCCACAACTGCCTAAGTTCTAATCATTCAATCAGTCTTGTAGATCTAACACAAATGTGGTTTTTTTTTTCCCCTTAAGAACATCGATTCACACCAGGTAGATATTAGCAGGTCTAGATGGTATTAGGAATGGATCCCCCTCCCCCTCATAATCAAGAACTGAAACAGTAAGACTCTGGTTACTGGTCAAAAGAATAATATCTAAGTCACATTTCTGAGGCTATAAATATAACATTGTTAATAAATGACCATGTAAGCTTTATCAGATAACTAGCCAGAGGCTTTCTGGTAACGAAGAAAGAAAGAAACATTGTCCCTTCATAAGACTGGATCCAAATGGGTCTGTTATTTACCTGAATGGGAAAACACCCCTCTGGGAAAGGGATGTCAGATTCTACTACACTCTGTGCATTGGTAGTGTTTCTCCAGTCTCTGGCACTGAAACAGGCCTGACCACTGGGTGAAGATCCTTCCACACGCTAACTGCCTGTGTGTGTTCTCTGGTGCTCAACGAGAATGCAGTTCTAAGTGAAGCCGTTTCCACATTCCACACAGATTTAGGACCTTTATGTAGCACCGTGAAAGGCAGCTTGGTTCCTGGTTTAGCTAAAGCTAAAAACCCCAGTGACCCTACAGAGACGACAAGTGTTTCACCTGGTTCCCGGACACCAAGCTCCTGGCACCAGGCTGCAGCCCTCCATAGATTTGTGGCCATCAGTCATGTAAGGGCAATACCCTATGCTCACAGGTAGATGTGGCCTGTGGTCACATAGACTCAAGACAGATCTCCATTTTAATGAGGTACCTAAAGACCTGGAGGACTTAGCCAATAAACTCTCCTTCCTGGACACTCCTCCCTGCAAAAGGCATTTAACTTCAGGCCTGCCCTGAGAAGTGGGGTACAGTTTTACTCATCCACTTTCCGCCACGACAATAAATGCCTTAAAACCATGGACTGTCTCTTTTCATCGGGATCCACCATGGGTGGGCAATGGAGAAGGCTTTCGCCTAAAGAGCTGCCGTCTAATCTCCTGTAGAAAGCCTGTCTGCGCTCCCAGTTGACCAAGCCAAGTCCAAGCCCAAGTCAGCAACCAGCCAGCAAGCCAAGGACTCTCCTCTACAGGACCAGCCGGAGCTCCCCTCTTTTCCCCCTCAGCCCCAGGCTAGATCCATCCCTTGGACCCCTACTCGGTTCTCAGCTCTTCTGCAGCATCCAGCAGTGCCTGCGTGCCTGACAGCCTGAGAACCAGATGGTCCCTGCCTCATTGCAGGCCCTGGGATTCCCCCCCCCCTTACCAGCTCCAGTTGTCCTGCGCCTCAGACTGCACTCCCCACCCCCACCGCCACCCCGACCCCAGCCATGTCCCTTCCCTACAGCCCAACACTGGCAACAGCGTCTCCCCGAGAGGCAGAGCCATGAGGCAGAGCAGATGCGGGACACCGCTAACCCTACATCTTTCCACTGATGAACTCAACTACTGCTTTTCCAATCTGCCCTCATGGTCACAGCTGTCTCCACATCCAGGGGCCTGAGTGGCATCACCATTCTGAATTCCAGATACTTCTACAAGAGATTTCATTTCTTTAGAAATCTCCTTCTCTGAGGCTAAGTCTTTACTCCAAGTCCCCATTCTCAACACTTAAATAACAAGTGAGGAAAACTAGCCTTATTTTTCTAAAAGTGAGGGGACCATGTTTCTGGGAGAAGAGTACAGCTACTGGTTTAATTACCTGCCACTCCCTGAAATCTTCCCGAGTGCAAGTATTGTTCGTTGTTGCCTCCTCAGTACTGAATGTTATTCCTGTTATCTATCAGGCACTAAGTGAATGTGTAAATTAACTTTCAGGGAATAAGACAAGCTCACTGGCGAAATGCTAGTACCTACCAGGCTCCTGAACGTGTCATTCTTCTTTCAAGTTACCCAGCTGCTGGTTTTTCATGGTTTGGAACTGGCCGCAGGAAGACTTACAGGGCGTTCTTGGAGTTGGTGTCTTTGTAGTCTCTTCCTGTTCCCGACTGCACTTGAGACCTGATAGAAAAGATAATTAGAAAACCAATACCAGAGAGAAGATTGCAAGGAGGCCTTCTCGTGGCCACGATGAAGAAAAGGGAACACAAACTTGGTGAAGAAAAGCCAAAGGCAAGCCTGGAGAGAGCACTTTAGTTTAGAGCACTTGTTGCTCTTGTAGAGGACCTGGGTTTTATTTCCAGCATCTGCATGACGACTTGCAACAATTTAACTCCAGTTCCAGGGGACTCAGAGCCCTCTCCTGACCTCCCCAGGCACCAGGCCCACGTGTGGTGCACACACATACATGCAGTGAAAACATTCATGTACATAAAACTAAATACATTTAAAAACAAAACAAAGGCAGATAGAGTATATAACAGATCCAGAGATCCAGGCAGGCAGAGACGCCCTCCTTCTCTTATACTGTCAGTTGTGACAATATTCCTAGCATAAAATAACTTAAAGGAATACTTGCTTAGCTCAGTTTCAGAGGATTCTGTCCATGGCTACAGGCTTCAAGTGCTTATGTCAAGCACACGAATACTATGAGTACATGGGTGAAAAGTTTCCTCATAGTTGAAATGAAGCAGAGAGCTTGACAGCCTGGGTCACGATGAACCAAATAATAGCCAGCCTCTACTGTTGTAGTACTTCTGAGGTCCCCACCACCTGTAGTTTCCAGAACCTCTTCAAATAGCCACCAGCTTGGGATTAAATGCCCATCTATGAGCCCTTGGGAGGGAGTACTGCATACCTAAACCATGACAGAAGCAAACTCCTTCTTCCATTTCCCTCTTGCTGTCCTCTTTCAACCATTTCTTCTTTCCAAATCCTCCAGAACATGCATTGCCTTGTCACCACTCACAGGTGGTGCTCTCTCAACAAGGCTGTAGCTCCTTAGCCCAGGATGCTCAGGAACTGCTCCAGCATCAGCAGCTCCAGGATTTGCTCCTTGTTCTGGGCCTCAGGCTGCAGCCATTAGTAGCAAAGCTCCTGGAGTCTTCCTAGAGCCTCCCTCTGCCCATAGGTTCCCTGATAGCAGAACTATCTGAAGCATCTGGAAAAATATCTCTGTGATCTGAAGGCTATTTCTCTACCTGCTAGAATCTGGCCCATGGACATGCTCCTTCTTCTCCTTTACTTTCGCTTTCAGAAGATCTTGTATCTCCATAATCTCAAGATGGTGGCCAATTTAGACATTATTATTGA